GATATGGCGGTACGCGCTGCGGGCTTTTCACGTGCAAAGTTTACGTATGTGCTCAATAAGGTAAACAAGGCACTGTTTCCATGTACTACTTTATGCAGCAAAAGAGAATCTTCAAAGGTTCAAGTAGCGTTGCCTTACTTTGGACCCATATCTTTACGTATCTGCAGAATCTTTAAGCAGCACAACCTTGTTCTACCTTTAACCCCACTTCCAAGCCTACGCAAACTTATTTGCAATGATAGAGACAAATTTTCCATTCTTGAGAAATCGGGGGTCTATGCTGTACCGTTGGAAAATCAGGCAATGGGAGTAAATACAAGATATATCGGGGCCACCACTAGAATGCTTTCCAGCCGCCTTGATGAGCACCAAGACGATGTTAGGAGGGGAAGACACACCACCGAGCTCGCAAGGAAGGTACTTGAGCAGGGTTACAACCCGCTATGGTCCCAAGCGGTTATGCTCAAGAGCTGCAAGGATCGAAAAACTGTTTTTATATGGGAATCTCTCTTCACTACCACCTTGGACACTTGCAACACCCCTACGCTCGAGCTGCCTAGTGTATGGGTCACGCTGTATAAGCGTTTAAGCGAGTATTAGCAGTCTCTAGTATGCATGTAGCGTGAGCATGGCTCCGTGCATGCGCCAGCTCGCACTTCACGGAGCTTTCTGCTCGTTCGGTTTTCGAATTATGTTTAAATATTTACTTCGTGTTCTTAACAGCTTTAACATAATTTTAGCTTATCTTATGCGTTATATTCTGCATTCGATTATTTTTTGTTTAAAATTTTTTGATAAATATCTATATTCGCCTGAGGACGACGACAATAAGTTCGTTGAAAGTACTAGCGATAAAAAAATGCATGTAACGCTGAACTCAGTGTCTTTGTTTTTGTTATTATATATTAATTTGGTGTGTCACCTTTCCTATTGTTTACTAAAACAATGTTAATAATAACAGCAAAGATTGCACTAAAGGTAATAATTTAATAACAACAGAGATGCCACAAATATTATTTATAACTGCCCAATCAAGACTGTAGGAAATGTGCTAACTTAATGCATTATTTGTCAACATTGAGTTTAGTCTTTGGGAAACCAAACTCTAATAAATGTGTCATTTCTTTGTGTGCTAATAACCATGTCACTCTTTTTCATTCATATGTCTACAGGAAACTCACTATTTCCAATATTGGATTCACTAATTTTTCTTTTACTTGAAAGCTCTACTTATATAGTAATTTTATTAATTTTTGTTATTAAATCCTTTATTAATCAAATGATATGAGGCTAGTCAGAAGAGATGGTAAAGGCTTCCACTTAATACACCAAAACATCTAAGTTTGAGTTCAAATAAGATTTTCAGAAATACTGACTCTTATATCTCAGGTCTTGCCTCTAATTGCTCATTGCAAGCCTGCCAAATTCACAATGAACATAAAGATCCTTGGTGCTTGTTGGGTGGAAAAAGTTTAATAAAGGCATCGAATAATATATTGAAATATTTTATAACTAAAATGTTTCTGTAAAAGTAATCAAGTAATGACTGTTAAGATTATCTGTAGAAAAATTATACAACTATACTACTATAAACTTATATTACCTGTAGAAATTACACAACAATTATACAGCTGTAAACTACAACTACTCTGAGAAGTTGTATTACTTCTCATTTTTTCTTTGTTCTTGTAATGGAGATATCAGAATGTATTTTATGCTTCACTAGTCCAGAATGTCAGTATGAGCTTCATCATCAATAGGGAAGAGCCCTGTAATGTGCAAGTTTGTCGAGATGTTTTGTGTGAAAGCACACAGCATTTTTCAATGCTTCTGATGTCTGGTAACACTGTTGACTGACCGACTTCCTGACAAATCACAAAAGGCACTATTTGGGTCATAAGATCAGGATCTTTTAGTGGCCACAGGTTAGGGGTTGGAATGCTTCGTATCCACGCCCAATTTGTCCGTTTGGAAATAGTCTGTTTGAGCACCTTTCGTAGTATTAAAATACTCCATTTGCTAAGTTATTTATGAGCCAAATTATAATTATAATTTAATAATTTTAGATTTTAATGTTTTATAATTAGTCTATATAAAAAATAATGTAACATTAAAAAGATAGAATTACATTAATTTTTTCAAAAATCTTGGTTTCTTGTTGTTCTCTATTATATGTATTTTCTTAGCACAATATTGCTGTTGAGAACATATCACACAGGAACACTTTCAGAGGAAAAAGGTTATTTTATTGGTGGTATGGACGGATATGCATTTCAGGCTTAATGCTCCTCTTCTGCCCTATTATTACATATTTATCAGTAAATTGATTACAGGTTTACAAATTTACAGAATTCATTGAAAAAATAGGTTACGTGTACAATGATTTATATAATAAAACTTAATTACCTGAGATGATGGTAGTTAAACCAACATGACTCGCAAGATATATACACATAGTTTAAAAAGGGGGAAAAAGGAGTGGTTAATTTTTTCAGTTTAAAAGTCGTAAAAAATATTTTGAATTTTTCTTCATTATTATAATTACAGGTATTTTGTTTAAATGTTTTGTAATTCTTGATGATAATTTAATTTTGACTTTTTACTTTATTATTATTTAAAAAATGAGGACAAAATTAGTGAAATTTCTGTTTCACTTTCTGGTCTCAATTTTAACTTAAAAGATTAAACTATGTTAGATTAATTAATTTAATTTTATTCTTTACTGAAATATTCTTTAATTACTTAGTTTCTTTAGGTTCTTATAGTATATCTTATTAAATATTATTATATGAAAGTAATCTTTTTGTTATTTGTATATATTTATATAAAAAAATATATGAGTATTAAAAATGCAATTAATTCTAATTGTTCGATAAAAATTAATTTAAATTTAGAACATTAGGAAGATCAGAGATATTTCTTCTGGACTTACGAACTCCAGTCCGATACAGATAAATGTGGCAGATGAAGATAAAGATTTCCTGGGCGACCTGGATGGTCCGTCGGTCATCTGTAACATAACATTTACTAAAGAAAGTAACATAACAGAAGATAAGAGCAAATCTGAAATAATTGAGAATTCCATATCCCAGTCTTCATCTCCAAATTTGAAAGAGAAAGAAATAAATGTGAAAGAATTAGATAATTCAGAAGAAACGGCACAATTACCTTATTCTAAAGAAAATATTGGTAAGTTATAATTTATATTAATATTTAAATTTGATTTGGCAAAAACAGGGAATAGTATTTAGAAATATGCTTGTAATTAAATGTGAACTTGATGACAATTTCTGTTCTATCTTGCTCTAATTTCTTTCTTTCTTTCTTGACTACCTCTTCTGTGACATCATCTTTCTTTAGTTAAATTCTGTTTGTCTCTGTATTTCTTCTCTCTTTCCTTAACTCAGAACAACTTCTCTTCCTGTTCTAATATTACTACCTAATTTAACTGTTTCCCCAGATCTGCTGCACTTTTGAACTGTTTGGAATTCAGTTCCATTCAAAATCATTTTTGATCTAAAGGATTTGGCTTTTTGTATTGTGGAAGGTTGTTTTCATTTTTTTCTGCTAAATATAGATTTATTAGAGAAAGAAACTACAGTAGAGCATCATTTATCCGAATCAATTGGGGACTGGGGTTGTTCGGATAACGAAAAATAAGTTATCCGAACAACCGATTATGTACGAAAAAATATATTAACCTATCCCATGTTGAAATTTTTCTCTGTTGCACATTGAATTTTCGTCAATGTTAAGCCTAATGTAAATTTTTATAATAATAATCGTGGCTATTGTATTGTTAAAAATTATTTCTTTATTTTGTACAAATAAAATAAATATATTGAAAAATATAAAAACAAATAAAAATTATACTTTAGAAGTTAATCTAGTATCAAAAACGTTTGATTCAGCACGACACACAGTCCTCACAAAAACACCACACAAAAGTGCCAGTGCTGCCATCTAAAACACACACATCAACAAAAATAATAATGGAGTAGCCCAAGACATAGCCAAAGGTTGCAGTGCCACAGCACTAGTGCAAATTTAAATTTCCTGACTGGAATGCTTTCGTTTAACTGATGTTTCGGTTGACCGGCTTTCGGATAAATGACGCTCTACTGTATGTAATTTTAAAATTATTTTTTCACTTAGCTTATTTAGTTTCTTAGATTAATTATATATATATATANGTCCGGAAATGGTCCTCGGACAGGATGTTAATGTCGTTTACAAAGATGATGCTGAAGGGGTTCTAGTAAGTTAATATAAAAATATTTATACATGTTAATGATGCAATGTTTAATGATAATATATCAAATATTATTAATACTTTATTAAATTATTGGGCTATGAAATATATATATATATATATATGATGTAACAGAATTATTAATTTATTGAAGATTATTCATTCCTTTCTTAGTAACTAGTAGCCCAGGATGCCCCTAGTGGGCATTCTTTACAAATTTCCATGAGGCACGGTTCCTTTGACTTTTTTGTTTCTATCAATATGCTCTACAGCTTTGTTAAAGTCCCAATGATAAGATTTACCCTCTGAATGAAGGGGTGGCGACCCTCCAAACTGTAGCCCCCTGTGCGAACAATAAAGTCAAAGGAACCATACCCCTACACACAACCCTTTGCGAGATATAAGTCCCTGAAAATTTGCCTACGTCATTTCCGGTCACGTGACACCGTGGTCAAAAGGGAGCCTACTGCGTGAAAAAAAAAAATTAATGTGCGCTCGTGCACACTCGGGGTCGCTGCCGCTCATTTGCAGGGTAAATTGTGGCAAACAGGCAGTCACATGATTCGTAGAATAATTTTCGGAGGGCTATATCTTGGGAAGGGTCGCGTGGAGGGGTATGGTTCATTAGACATTTATTGTTCGCATAGAGGGGGGTCGCCACCTCTTCATTCGGATGGTAAATCTTACCTTCCCAATCGCGTCATACGGATCTATATTTCTTCCTATTAAACATTCTATAAATACTTTAAAATAGTTTAATTTGTTTATTTACCTTTGCTTGTAAACCTCAATTTTAAATGTATCTGCCATTTTTTCAACAAATTTCTTGTGAGTCAATGCACGACATTCACTGAGTCACAGGATGTTGTAAACATGTGGTGCAAGGTTAATCAAGGCATATAATAATTATTTATACCATTCTGTGGTATAAATAATAAATTCACATCAATAATAAATTACTATTACAAATAAAAATAATTTATTGTTAATTTAAGATCTTCTCTAGGGTGCCTCTAGTGCTTGTTTTTGGCATACCGTTACGTGGACAGATACCAGTTCAATGGGTTATATATATAACCCATTGAACTGGTATCCGTCCATATATAGATGTTCAATTAGTTTATTTAATGTGTGTCAGTTTTATTCACAAACGTTCTGGAATCAAAAAGTAATTGTGTTACGAGAAATCCTTGTTAATTCAAACTCGGATAATTTGAAATCCTGTTAGTTTGTAACTATACTTTGTCTCTGTCGGGGATATAGAGTTTTACATGTTAAGGGATTTGGTTAGTTACTACAGCTACTTTGAAATTCTGTCCATCTTGTGATATGCACACATTAACTGGTTTGTTTAGATCAAAGTGCTTCCATGCTGTAAGACAACAATAGATCAAGAACAATTTTAACCTGGTCAATATGGCTTTTATGGTAACACATTTTTGAGTGTCACCTTACTTATGGACTACCTTCTTTTTTTCTTATCTAATAAAATATGACTGGTTTCAGAGATTGCAAGATTGGGCTACAAGTAGCAGATTGAGATATTTGTAAGACTACTCTTTGGGCTGCTTTAAAAATAATTTTAGCTACATTTTGAGGAATACGGCCCTGTACACACTAGGCGTTTTTCAACGCGCGTTAAACGCTCGTCGAACGCCGAGCTAACGCGCGTTAGCTCGGCGTTTGACGAGCGTTTAGCGGAGCGTGAGCACTGGCTCGGTTTGGAAATGGATGTGGAAGTGATTGCTTGTGTGTGGCTCCTCTATCGTCGCTATAAAAGACGACGGCAGAGGCAAAGAGAATTTTGGGTGCACCCAATATTACGAGATAGACTGACGCATGAAATGTTTGCGACGTTGTATCCAAAACTAAGACAAAATAAATTCAAGTTTTTTAATTCTTTTAAAATATCTATAAAATCCTTTGACGATGGTTGGTGTCTTTTAGATACCATCAATAAATAGATCAGTATCGAAATAATCGTTTTCCATTTCAGCACATATATCTCAAAGCGCTCGGCTGACGCCCGCAAAACGCGCGATCGCATGTACGGTAACATGGCAGCACATATATCTCAAAGCGCCCGTAAAGCGCTCGCAAAACGCGCGTTTTAACAAAAATCTATAAGCGCTCGCAAAACGCGCGTTTAACGCGCGCTTGGCTTTTGAGTGTGTACGGCTACATAGAACTCTTGGTTCTTTTAAACGCGCGTTGAACACGCGTTGAAAAACGCCTAGTGTGTACAGGGTCTAAAGCTTTACATTTTATAAAACCTATCTGGCAACTTTTGAGATTCTCACTGGACATGTGCCATTTACCTTCACATTAATATTATTATTATTAATAATTATTAATTAAAGAAAATAGCATTCTGTATATGTAGCTGTATTCTATTTGCTTAATCAATTATGTCAGTTACATATCATTTGGCATAGTGTACAGATGTAAAACACAGATGATTTGAAACTCAATAATTGAAAGTTGTGATTATTTTGTTCCTAGAATTTTGAACTAATGAGGATTTATGTATTGATGTACAGAGATTACCATAAGAAATAGATGATGTGGCAAAATTTGAATCCATGCTGATTTCTCTCTGACGAGGGAATGGAACAACGTTGGGGTCACTGATTTTGATCACACTTGACATTCCCTACAACCGATTCCTGTCAAGCAGTAAGGTGCTCTAATCGAAATTAAACAAGAAAATTAAAGTTGAAAATTACCAATCACTTAAAACCTTTAGAATTTCTATTATTTTGTAGAGTGGCTGGTGGCTCGGTGGGGGAATGCCAGTTTCATAGTCATGAGATTGGTATTTTGAATTCCATTGGTATCAATGTGCTTTTTTTTTATAAATAAAACTATAATTTTCACTTTATTCTGTTGTGTTTTAATTTATTATATTTTTAAAAAAATTGTTTTTGAATATTCATGTATACATGGGATTCATACTGTATTTATAATTTACTCGAGAAGATGATAAGATATAAACAAAATTATCGTTATTCAAAACCAATTTTGTTAATAACGAAGTGTGAGAATACGGACGAGGGTCCAGACCCTCTAATCGTCAGATCCGTTAGACCTGCTCACTTTGTCACTGGATGGCTTGATTTTGAACAGAACCCGAGTGGTAAGATTCTGTGTGGGGTTGTGCATAAAGAACGAATACCAGACAAGAAGGACATTAAATATAAAATTAACAATTTAATTATAGATGGACAGAATAACTAATACACATAACATAACTACGGAACAGAAAACATAAGTCTAACGTAATAGTAGGGATGTTCTTCTTATTAGAAGTGTTCAATTGATTAGGATAAACAATAATACTATACTATAATAAAAATACAGATGGAAAATACAGAAGTTAGATCCTATCGCGAGATTAGGATCTATCTTAGATGTATCCCGAGAGAGAGAGGTTTACAATAAATTTTACCTCGTTGTTCATGTTGGGATCTTGTACCTTATAGATTCTCTTCCTGTAGAGTGGAGTTGGGAGGACAGGTTCAGTCGTTGGAGGAGTAGCACTCCATATGGCAAGTCTGGGGAACTGCCCCTGTATGGCCAGATCCTGGCGAACTGCCTCGAGTGTATGAAATCCAGCCCTTTTATCTCCATCTTTTGCAATGTCATGATTATAAGAATGGGTTATGACATTTTAGCAGGTCGTGTGCACAATTCTAAGATACGAGGCATGGAGAAAGGAAGCAAAACATCCTCATTTCTTGTAAAAGTGCTACGTGACAGAGCAGTTTTACAGGATGTAAAAATTTATAACCTTATTAGGTTATGTTCTAGTAATTATTCCAAATTTTATCATTCTTTTTTATATAGTTGAGTGAAATTAAAGCATAGTATTTATTACATTAAAATTAATTATCTCAAGAACACCGTCAGATTGTCACAGAAGACATTTTTATTAACATTATTCAATCTGTTTGCTTCTTTGGGAGCAAAATTTTATGGATGATAATTGTCATAGAAGCATGTGAAACAATAAACATTTTTGCACTGTGCATCATTTTTATGATACTTTTTGTGACTTCCAAATTTGACAAAGAATCCTCGGCTGCAATTAGATTTTGATTTTGAAGAATGCTTTCACTATATGTAAAAACATCTTTTAAATATAATTTTGTAATATTATTGTGCACCTGTTCTTCTGCAGAACTCATTTCTATGCTATTGATATTAGCACAATATATCGAAGCCATCTTTTCATTTTTTAGCAAACAAAGATGCAATTATAGACACATTTAGGTTAAAAAATGACTTAGTTGCTAGAGTAAGTATATATTGTACATGAATATACAGAAAATGTTTTGTTTCTAAATAACTATTATATTGTATAAGATTTCTTAATTTCACATTGAATTGTTACTTGAAATGTGGTTTCATTATATTGTTTATTGTACATTTGTAGTTTTTTTAAAAATAAATCAGTTTTTCTCTCTGACAATATAATAAATTAAAGATGACCAAGAATAGAATAAAAATTATTGTTTTATTTAAAAAAATCTCATTGATATAAACAGGATTCAAAACACCTACCTTGTGACTATGAAACTGGCACATCCCTGCCAATCCACCAGACACTCTGCAAATAATAGAAATTCTAAAGGTTTTAAGTGATTGTACAATTTTCAACTTTAATTTTCTCATTTAATTTTGAGTATTGTGCCTTATTACTTGGTTTATGTCAGTTGTTTGGGATGCACTATATCCTCTCCAAGTTTTAACAAAATTGGTGACCCCAATGTTGTGCCATTCCTTGTGGGAGAGAACTTTGAAAAATGTAGTGTGCAGTCTTGATATTATTGGATGAAGGGAGGAAGCCTTTAGAGATGTTTAAGGCTTTTCAATTTAGAGAAAATGGACTTTAGAATTCAATCATCATCTGATTTTAAAATGTAGGTAATGTTAGACAGCATTCAGAGGAATAATCAAATCATTACCAATTTAGACACATTAAAGTGGCATCCTTGCAGTAATTATGCTAATGGCAACAAATTGAAATTAAACGACATTAGTCATTTACATCGACCCTTCAGTACTCCTTTGTTGCCGACTTTCCGAGATTGCAAACTCCCGACACACATCTCCCGTCTGTTCTGTGGAATATTTACTAACATGAGATGAAACTTTTATTGATAGTTACCAAAGATGTAGCTTTTGCATATGTTATTTGAGATATCTGCAGCTATCAATGTCAAGAATGTATGTTGAAATTTAAAAGGTAAATGCAAGAGTAGAGAAAATTTAATTAATCAATGAACATACAAAATACAGTACTTTGAACTGCAAGAGATCTTCCTTTTTTGCAATACATAACAGCATAGTCATAGATGAAAGTATTGTGAAAATAAAAATTTGCAGAGCTTAAAAATTTAGAATAATTAAATATAAAATACAATGATTATTTAGACAAAGTTATCAATAGTTTACTAAAAGTAAAGATTTGAGTATTAAATTACGTAACCAATTTGGCTCTAGAGGTAAGTGTTAGGCGCCATCTCTTATTAATATTAATAATTATAAATAGATTAATTAATTTAAATAATTTAGAACTGCTGGGAGAAAAAATCGGCCTGGAGCGGGACTCGAACCCACAACTCCTGCTTACCGTGCAGATGCGTTGCCAGTTACGCCAGTTTATTTAGTAATTAGCCTTAAACTAGCCCGATAGATTTTCGGCATACGTTTGGTGTTTAGCTATATTATATCGGGTTTAGAGATGTTTGTATATATTACGCCTTGCCGGGGCTTGTGATGGCCGGTTGAGTGCCTTGTAGGACGTGGGCACTGAATGTGTCCCCAGCCGGCATTGTAATAACCGTCGATGGTTACATAGTTATACGCTGGAAAAGGAGATCGGACCGAAGGTCCAGGTAGCGTAACTGGCAACGCATCTGCACGGTAAGCAGGAGTTGTGGGTTCGAGTCCCGCTCCGGGCCGATTTTTTCTCCCAGCAGTTCTAAATTATTTAAATTAATTAATTAATTTATAATTATTAATATTAATAAGAGATGGCACCTAACGCTTACCTCTAGAGCCAAATTGGTTACGTAATTTATTTAGTAATTATCCTTAAACTAGCCCGATAGATTTTCGGCATACGTTTGGTGTTTAGCTATATTATATCGGGTTTAGAGATGTTTGTATAGATTTGAGTATTACATATTTATGCTATTAAAATTTTTTAAGGAAGAGCAGAAAATTTCTGAGAACATCACAAATGAAGACATAGAAGTTATTCTGTCGGAAGTTACACAAGATGAAGAAATTCAGAGTGATTCTGAAAAAGTTTCCAATGAGAACAAAAGGAAAGATATCTATACATCTGATAAAACAGATGATGATGAAGGTACAGTTAATTCAGATTTATTGATAGAATAAAACAATTTAATATGCTATAAATATTTTAAAAATACAGTAGTGTTTAAGTAGAGAAAGCATTATTAAAAAGTGCAATAGATTTAATCTTATTTATTCAGATATTTCAGATGTTTACTAGCTTAATAGATATTTATATAATAAAATGTGATTCAGTAATTTATTACAGTTTGTGTATTGCAGATACAAAATAAGTATATAAGTTGTCAAATGCTATAAAAAGACAGTTTCTTAGTGTCATAAAACAGTTAACATTTCAAATGTTAATCATAAAACAAATGATTAACTTTTGAAATCAAATTATTTAATTAGTATTTTTGTGAAATTTCTCAGAAATTGAACCATTATCTACCAAAACTTTACCTATAGGATTTGAACTAGATCCCATAGAGATATAGAATCTTGGTTCTTTAGATCAGTGATTTTGAGGTCATCCTGTGGCTCCAGAAGCTGTGATCTTGGGAGTCAGGAACAAAACTTATGTTTTCATTAAATAAAATTGCTTTGGGTGTAATTTGATATTATTATTACACGTAACAGGTTGCAGGGTATATCATATACAAGAGTTGCGAGAAATAACCATTGTTCTCAAGGCTGCAGTTTAAAAAGTTTAAGAAACACCGCTGTAGATTGGCAGACCAATGTTTTTGTTGCTTAACTGTCTGACTATTTATTTAAGATGTTAAATTGACAGTTGGATGGATGATTGCTAATCTAGTTAATTTAGATTAGCAAATAATTAAAGTAAGGTAATGGCGAAAGAGAATTCTGACTTACATTAACAATTGCTGAAATATATATCATTATTCAGAGCTATATATTTCAGCAAAATTCTCAAGATGTCTACAATTAAGGCTACAAATATTTTGTAGCTTTTTATTTTTCAGATTTTAGTGTTGGATAGCTTATATTTTCACACGTTGATCCATTTCTGCAAAATTAAACAGATGTGAATTTGTTTAACACATTAAATCTCATTTATTAATTACAGTTCTTAAGATTATATTAATCAATCAATTTTCAATTACTGATTATAAATTTCAGTTTGGCTAACTTAAGGAAATTAATGTTAAGAAATTCTTAATAACAAGTTAAACATTTTTAGATCATTGCGTATGGATGGAAAAGTGAAACGAATGTCATAAAGCAGAATCACATATGACATTCTTGAATTATCTTATTCTTTCATAATAACAAAAGTCTGTCTTGCCAGATTTTTGCATTGTTTGTTGTTGAAAATAAAGACAAATTTTAAAATTTGTGAACTATAACAAATATCAAATAACAGTTTAAATAATTATCAATGCACATCAAGGTCATAAGGAATATTTGGTTAGAAATTTGGTACAAAAATAAAATAAATTCTATTCATTTACATCATTAACGAATTAATTAAATCAAAATGGCATGGTTGCAGGAATCATCATTCTCATCTTATCAAACCGTTTTGATTTTATTAATTTATTAGGTGTGGCATGGCATTAAAAATTATTAGATTTAAAGTTATGTCGTAACTTTTTGGTAGCAGAAAATTAATTAATTTGCAAATCTACTCTTGGCATGATACAAAGTGTAATAACAGTCAAAAAGATTGTAAGAATGGTAAGAGTAGTACATCAAATGGTGCTTTTCTTACACTAAAGAAAACATTAAATATTAGAATATTTGAATTAATTAAATTGTCATTTATTTAGGTATAGAATCAGATATCTTTCTGCTAGAGAAAGAAATAGAAGAAAAGAAGGTGCCAGTATTCGTTAGTGTTGGAAGACATAATCTGATGGAGAGAGACATATTAACGTCCAGTATCTTGGATTCTTTGGATTTGAGAGTTTTAGAATCTGTCAAGAAAACTGTAAGTTTATTTCATTTATTTCTGATGTTTTTCGTATTATAATGCAAAATTATTTTATTATTACAGTAATGAATATATAATTTTAAATTTTAAATCCATTACTTGTAGATCAAAGTAAAAAAGTGGTAAATTAGACAATGTATCAGATAAAATAGTCAAACGTGACATGTATGCAGTGATGCAGTTGTAAACTTAATGAAAGACAGAGTGTTTTTGCAAGTTTTTTTTTTGATATTTACTAAAAAGAAAATGAATGATTATTTGTAAAAAAAATGAAAGCATTGATTTAGTTATTTAAAAAAAAATTTTTTTACATTTATTATTTAAAAAAATAATAAGGTTATGAGGTATTTGGTTAAAATGTGCTTGTAAGTGGAAAGTATATGGTATTTTTATAAAGAAATAATAGGGTGTATGGTATATACTGCTGTGTATTCTTTTGTGCAATGTATACAGAAGAATATACAACATTATTTATAGATGATTACCAGAAAAAAAAAAAAACAGAGAAAAGACAAGAAAACTTTTATGAAATATTTAATATTGTCAGCATATGTAAATAAACTATACTACAAATGAAATTAAATAAATAATAATAATGTTTTTCACAATTGAAATGTATTATCTATTTATAACAGTAGTAAAAAGTTGATATAGTTCGACAGTAGATTGTTGTGTTCTTATTATTAACTAGCTGTTACCTGTGACTTCGCCTGTGTGGATTTTGCAAGAAAACGCCATTTATATTCAGTATTTCAAAAACCATGGTAATTGTTATATAACACCTACTGCTGAGAATGATGAGAATTGCTGAGAATCAAACAAACTGTTTTCAATTTTATCAATTTTCTGGAACATTTACAATCGTTCTGTAATCGAACCAATATGCAATAACAAATTTGAATTTAAAACAGTTTGAACATTTGGTTAAAAAATCAAAATATATAAAAATATTTATGACAATGTCTGAAATGTTATCAATTTAATACACTTAAGTACTCAATGAAGACTAAACATAGTTGAAAACAAAAAAAATTGCATCTAAAATATAGTATAGTAGAAGCCACTCTTCAGGTTGTGTCTTAATGCTCTCCCTCTCCCCACGGGGGAAATTTTGAAAAATCTCTTCTTAGTGTACATTATGTTATATGCTCACTTTTTACCTCTGCTTTTATACATACATACATACATAATACATATGTATATACAGGATGGGCAGAAAGGACGGATGTTTTTGAAATGGCTAGAACTCACCACCAGATGGAGTGACAGATGTGTGGCAGGTAGCATGAAAGTAGTGAGGTCTTAGCATTGTCTTTTCAGTTGAAGGCATGTAGCCATGGATGCTACATCACTGTGTGTTTGCATATGACTGAGGAAACAGTTGTAAGCAAAGGGGATCACTCAGTCATACATATCTGATGGGAATACATTTCCGCATCCTTGCATATGATGGAAATTTATTCTCATCAGACGTATGTGGTTTAAACAGGATGGGGCGACAACCCACACAGCTAGAACATCAATTGACGTTATTCGTGGTCTCTTCTCTGGTCACCTCATTTCCAGGCTCAGTGACATTCATTGGTCTCCTCATTCGCTCGACCTATCCATGTATGATTATTTCTTATGGGGACACATCAAGGCACTTGTATACAAGCATAAGGCCTTTCTTTGAAAGAACTGAAGAAAGCTATTTGCGTGGAAGTTGCCAAAATTGCCTCCAGAAATGCATCAGTGATAACGAACACCACACGGGAGATGTTGTTTACCACACTTGTAAAATGCTATTTCAATATGAACTCACATCTTTCAACAAATATCTTTTGTATTAACAATTACAAATGTTGTGATTTTTTTTAAAAATGTTTGTCATTTCTGCCCCACCCTGTATATACAGTATATAGGACTTAGTCCTTTACTGTGACCCTACGAATATATAAGATGCATAGTAAAGTCCTAAATCATCCAAATAACTTTTGAATGAACAGAGCTAGAGCTACAGAAGTTAGATATTGGTATGATAAAGTGACCCTGCATTATTGAAATGAGATTAATAGCAGTATCTCTAGCAGTAAAATTTGATGTCAGCATTTCTAACCTGGACCTTTGTAATTTGCTAATTTGGGTCAAAAGTCATTATGCATCTTCATAATATGTTGGTTAACTTCTTTGTGTGTCTAGCTCACCCACAATGTGTAGAAATTGGATGTTGGATGTCACACACAAAAATACACACAGTTAATAATATACAGTGAAACCTTGATATAGCATCATCCTAATGAACACCATCTTCAAAAAAGTGTTCATGAATATTCTTGAACAGTTCTTCACCATAAATGTTATGTAGATAACTCTGGTATTTGTGAATTACTAAATGTATCATATTGCATTGCAAACAATATTATCATAATCATTCATACACAACCTTGATAAAAGGTTTATTTAACTTTGAAAACTAACATTTTTGATTATTTTTAATGAACATCAGGTTAATGTTCCAAAAACTAAACATTTACAAATACTAATGGGCATAGAATGCAAATAATCAAACACTGGTCATATTAAATATAAAAAATAAATTTTATAATCTGTTACATCGCTGTGATGGGTGCAAAAACTACAAGAAAATAACAATAAAAATAATAACAAAAATATAAGTTGTATTACATTGTGTAGACCTCAAACAAAGGTTTCCAAGCATCTGTGTCTAGATTTGTTAAGGACCTAAACATGATGTTGGATGCTTGGAAATCTTTGTTTGAGGTCTACACAATGTAATGCCATCTATACTTTTTTTTTTTCGTGCCTGTCACAGCAATGCAGCAAATTGTAAAATTTACTTTTTTTATTTAAATATGTTTGACATTTGATTATTTATGTTCTATGCCCATTAGTATTTGTAAACGTTTGATTTTTGGAACATCTACCTGATGGTGATTATCAGGGTTTCTCATTTCCTGGACTTTGCTTGTCCCGGGATTCTGGGATAAAAGTGCACTGTTTTCCGGGATCTGAGAAATCCCAGGATAGAATTAATTATTTTTAAGATATGCAAAATATCTTGAAAGCAAATGATATAATTATTTTTCATTTTTTAAAGTAATTTAATACATTCTGCAACCTCCAGAATCATATTAATAATGCTGTAAGATATATATTAAAAATTACCTTTGAATTATGTAGAGATTTTTATGAATAGAAAAATTTTATTAAAGTTTGCTGGAAACTGCATACAACAACAACAACAACAACAAAAAATGCTTTGAATTGAAATGAAAATTAAAAAAAAAGAACTTAGATCAAACTTCTAACTTAAAAGATAATTTTCATTTTTTAAATAAAACATAATACAAAATATTATTGTAAATTTTTATAATAAGATTTTAAAAAGCAAAGATGGTCAATACTCTGTTCACTCAATCTGATTCCAATTTTGGTAATAAAAAGTCCTGCTACCGAGAATGCCCTTTCCAATTCTATTGATGTGAGTGGAATCATGTTTAATGCATTTAAGAGAAGACAGATGTGTTTTTTTTTCACTTGTAGCCTGGAAGATTTCGAGTTCGTTTTCAAGATTGTCGTACTTCTTTTGCTCTCTAGTATTCTTGATTTGTCTATCTTTGCTGCTCTAATAGCGGCATCAAGCTTATAGCCTGATAATTCAGTAATTCGTTTGGCTTTAATAATTAGGTTTATGAAGAAAAACTTCACACTTGCAGACTTCATACTCCTCGTTTGTATCCTTGCCCAATTTGTACAACCTGGTGTTACGCAGTTATTGAAGCTCCTGATGGTTAAAAATTAAAACAGCATAAGCACAATTATTCCAGATATTGCAGGTTCTGACAAGTAAAGAATTTTCAGAGTCTTGCCACAAATAAGCTACATATTGATTATTGACCATTTGTGACATGCCATAACGAAGAAAAATTAAAAAAACTAATAAGTAGGTTTAAAATTAATAAATACAAATGTATTCTGACAGTTTATGAGTTAGTTATACAGTAGAGCGTCGATTTTCCAAATCAATTGGGGACTGGGGTTGTCCGGATAATTGATATTTTGGATAACTGATTTACGTACGAAAAAATAGTTTAACGTATCCGATGTCGAAATTTTTCTCCGTTGCATGTCACTTTGCGTTGAATTTTTGTTGATGTTAAGCCTAACAAAGACTATTGTATCGTTAAAAATTATTTTTTTATTTTGTACAAACAAAATAAATATATTGAAAAATATAAAAACAATAAAAAATTATACTTCAGAAGTTAATTTAGTATCAAAAACGTAAAATATTTGAGTAGCCGAAGACATAGCCAAAGATTACAGCGCCACAGCACTGGCGAAAATTTAAATTTGTCGACTGGAATTCCTTCGGATAACCGACGTTTCGGATAACCGACCTTCGGATAAACGATGCTCTACTGTATTTATAATACTTTCTTTTTGGAAAACACAACAGCCTTAGAAGTCTATAATACTATAGAAGGTTTGAAAAACAGCACTCCAGACATCAGTTTCTTAAATATTGAAATCTTAAAACACATATCTGAGTTACTTTGTACTCGAATATTTGTTGT